GGGTGGGGCAGGAACGGGGGTGAATGGCGGGGTGCGGGGGTCAATGGTTCCGCTCAGGGGTCCTGGGGGTAAGACCCCCACCCCGGCTTGGGCCCCGGGGGATCCCAGCATGACAACACTGGATGTATGCATGACTGAATCGACACTTGGAGAGTGGTTACGTCTCCCGTGCCACGGCCCAGGCATGTTGACTGCAGGCAGTGCCAGGCACATTCTTTCTTTCTCTATCCCCCTGCCTCAACGAAATCCCGACTATCTCGTGCAAATGCTAATAGCTATAAATTTCCCAAGTGCGACAAAATTGCTCTCTTTAAACTAAACTTGGGAAGGTTAGCGCGGTCAAGAGGATCAGCAATGAGTATGAGCATACAAGGAGGTGCGTTCGGAGTTGGGCCATCCGACTACCTGGTGGTGAGTGTGTGGGGTTGACGTCCGCCCACAACGGACTGAGGAGAACGGGTGAACCCGGCATGCGTACTCAGGAGCCGAGTGACAGCTCTGGGTTGTTGGTAGGTGGGAAGCGACAGACTGCCATTGGAATAAGGAGGCGGATGGTGAAGCAGTGCGAGCGCATGGGGATCTGGGGTGTGTGGGGATTTCTCTCCGAGCCCTCTAGAATTTTTTGTTTTCGGCTTTCGCCATTTCTGTCTCTGTAATTGCGGACTGGTGTGTGTTCGTGTGGGTCCCTCCTTTTTCTTTGAAGGTTCTCTTGTATCTCTTTCATGTTATGGATGATGTCGTATGTGATGATGGTGGCCTGATCGTCCCAATTTGGTATGCATAATTCCTGGTTCTGTTGGAAGATTGAGGAACGTGGATGCATGCAGGGTGGTTGAGCCCCAGCCCCGGGGGCCGGGGCCCCGGCGGGGCGGTGCGGACGTCCGGGGGCAGGCACCCCCAGCCCCGGCTCTGGACCCCCCGCCCGAAAAAAAAAAAAAGCTTGGAGGGTTTGGGGCGGTACCCCCTGGGATAAACTGCAAAAATGCAGTTTTCGCCCGACCTCGGAACCAGCCCCCGGGGCTACATCCTCCCCTAGTGAACCCGGGGTGCCCCTGGGCGGGGGACCGGGGACGGGGTGGAGCGGGGTGTCGGGCCGGGGATGGCTGGGAGTGGAGCCAGGGCTGTCGGGCTATGTATCCCCAGCGGTCGCGTTCGCCGCGGGCACGACCGCGGCCGGCGGTCGGGGCCGCGGGGCCGTGGTCATGACCGCCGCGGTCGCGGTCGGGGATGGCCCGCGGAGGCCAAGGGGAGGGGGGTCCTGCCAATCGGGGTCAGGATTCTGACGGCGTGACCAGGGCCCC